ATATAATATTTATCTATATAGATAATATAGATATATTATATCTATATACTTATTATATCTATATAATATAATAAATGACAAAAACAAAATCAATAAAACTTTCTACGCCTGTCTTTCCCGGCGTTTTCGCTACTGCGCATGCTCACTGCGCAGCACACGTGCGCAAGTTAAGCCCGACATTTACGCAACGATTTTTATATATTATTTGCTACGCAATGTCTTTACATCCTTAAGGCTAATACTATAACAAAAATAAACAAAGTTCTGTTTTTGCTGCACTTTGCCGACTCCTCACGTCTTGTCCACACGCTCGGTTTTTCCTGGTGTTCTGCGCAGCTCCTCCGGCGCATCCTCCTTTCTCATTGGTTGATTTTCTTCAGCCAATGAAACGTCTGGCGCCTCTGTTCTCTGTTTCTGGTCTACTATTAACTCCTTTCTTGTTCTGTCCCGCATCCCTGCGGCCGGCGGTGACACGGACACCCCGGACAGCTGTGCACGGGATTGGAGAGACCTCCGTGCTGCTATAGGTGCGGCAGTATTTCGCACCTGGCACGGGGGTGCACAGCGCCCCCCAGCCCACTTTGCGCGGACAGCGGCAATCCCGACGGGCACGTATGGGGGGAAAAGCGTGCCCTCGCCCCTCACCGGTGAGGAGTGATCTGGACGAGCGGAGATTGACGAGATCTCCTCCTGCTTCCGCCGTCGGAAACGCTACTGCGTCCCCGCCCCAAGCGTCGGGTGTTCCCGGCAGCAGGGCTGAACGCGAGAAATCGGGGCCGGTGTCCCGCTCTTCTGTTAAGAGAGAGTGAGAGCGGTCGCGCAGGGCAGGGGGCGGTAAAAGGTCTCCCTGTCCCTGCGGCGGAAGAGGAACCAATGGACACAGAGACCGATCCTTTCCCGAAACGGAGGAGTACTGATTCCACGTCCGGTCCAGTAGAAGAAGAAGAAGCCCCTCCTCCAGCCAAAAAGCGTAGCGGTGGAAAGAGCAAGGGCAGGCCAGGACCTCGGTCCTCAAAGTTGAAAGGCTGCGAGGACCGGGCTCCCTATCGAGTGGGCATCGGAACGTTGGCGATTACGCCACTGTTGCCGGACGTTACCCCTACCGGGAGTGATCACCGGATCTTCGGGCCTGGAGTAGTCCTAAGCACGGCCTTTTTTTTATTCCTCTTTCAGTTTCTGGAGGAGGGGACGTTCTGATGCTCTCCCATTGCCGGGGAGGTCGATTCCCCGACTTCTCTCCCGTGCGGTGGGAGAGTCTCTTATGGGGGGAGGAACAGCGGTGAAGGTACTGCAGAAGCGGGAGTGGGAGTTTGTTCTCTCATCTCCTTTCCTTGTCCCAAACAGGCCTGCCGCTGCTCGGGGTTGCGACGAATCGGGGTGGGGACTCTGATTTGCTCGCGCTAACCCCACAGCAGGAGTGGCGGAGTGTGGGTGGGCCACACTCTGCCACCACTAACATAGAATTGGGGAGGAGGCCATCACCTCCCCACGAGATGTCATTGCGAGGGGGAAGTTCTGGTATATTTCTACCCTAAGGTTCCAGGTCCTCCCCGCCATCCCGCAGCGTAGGCCCACCGTGGGGTTTTAGTGGGTATACCTCCTTTCACTTTCGGGTGAAGGGAGGGAGTCCCACATAACCCTGGTCCTCCCCCAGGACCAGGGTATCCATAAAGGATTTCCCCAGGTACAAAAAAACAAAAAAGGATTAGGCAGGAGTCGGGCACCTCACTTACAGAATGACGCAGGAGCTTACCGGGCACGGTTGCTTCGATGAGTATTTGTGTCAAATAGGTAAGGAGCCGACGGCACAGTGCCACGAGTGCGAGGCGGTCAGCGACTCGGCGCGGCACACTGTGGAGGATTGTCCACAGTGGATCAACGAGCGCCGGGAGCTGACCGCCAAAATTGGTAACGATTTGTCCCTGGAGGCTCTGATAAGTGCGTTGGCTTCCAGGGACAAAGACAAATGGAAGGCTGTAATCTCCTTCTGTTTCGTGGTAATGGAGCAGAAGGAGGCAGCGGAGAGAGAGAGAAAACGAGCTCCTCTCTCTCAAGAGAGACCTCGGCGTGTACGAGCGGGCGACAGGGCGTCCGTTCCCCGCGCTCGTCCCCAGGGTCAAAGGCCCCAATGACAGTGGTCCCCTCCTTACTTGCTTGAGGAGAGGAACCAGAGCGGCGGACTTGTGGGGGAACCGGGTCCTTTGAGTAGTCCGCCGCTCCGTCAAGGAAATACGTTTTAAGTAGGAGTGCGGCAGTCTTTGGGTGGAACCGTCCACCCAAGGGAGATACTGTTGCGGGGACCGCGACAAGTCGTGGTGGGGGCCTCGGCCTGTCCTGCACGCGGTCCCGAGTGGGGACGACGCGGTGGCGTGTGTCCCGTCGCGTCGTCAAAACAGAAAATGACAGAGAAGAGAACATTACAAGTTCTCCCCTCCCAGTAGTCAGAATAGCCCGAGGGAGGGTCCCGGCAGAGTCCTTACCAGAGATTCCTTTCCTCAAACGGGCTGAGTAGGCACACCTTGGAAGTTTTAGTGGGTACACCTCCCTCATCTCGCGGGGTGAGGAAGGGTCTCCCACATAACCTTGGCCATCCCTCCCCGAGACCAGGGTATCCATAAAAGATTTCTTTTAAGTAAAAAAAAAAGGTTAGGATTAGGTTAATTAATGTGTATGTCACTGGAGCCCAGCATTGCCGTGAAACTAGCGGACGCGTAACGTCACGCGATAGAAGGAGTAATTTATGATTGGTGGGAAAGTACTATAGCAATCGACGCTACGACGCAACGCCAGACGTCACGTCACCGTGTTTGTAAAAGATTTGCAGCAAAGTTAGCGAAGTGCGATTTTCCTTGTACGAGCGATTAGAACAATCTAAAAAGTTCAACAATCTAAACACAAACGTCAGACATGTCTGGATATGGTTGGTCATAAAAGTTAAGGTATAGTTACCTATACAGGTTAAGTTAAACAGTTTCGTCATGTGTAGCAATGCATCGGTTGCTAAGGTACTTCTCCCACCATCGTAAATTATCATCTCTACTGCGCGACGTCACGCGTCCACAAGTTCCTCGGCAACGCTGCTTGACCGGTTGAATTACGTCTTGTCACTCTTGTCTTGCTAGCGTTTAAAGCAGTAATAATGCCAAACAATTGCTGTATTAAAGGTTGTAACAATAACCATTTAAATGGTTTTCATTTACTCAGGTAAGTAGAATGTATGTTTGTACAAAATATGCGAATTTTAATGTTGTTTTATTATGTAGTTTTATTATGTTGTTTTATTATGTCTTTTTAACGTGCCTGTCAATCATCCAAGCGATTTTTGCGAGCACAGAATGTACTTCTTTAATATTAGTTTTATTACAGTCGATTTTATATATCCACACAGAACAGAAACTTTATTAGACATCTATTCGATATTGTATAGAGCTATTGACGTCTAATAGACGTTTAATAAAAATTTTGTTCTGTGTGGGCATATATTGTGTGAGACATAGTATTTATATTTTGTCATTGTATCGTAATATTTTCAGTAGACTTTCCAATGAACGAATTTTTTTGTCTTTTCGTAATACTTTTTGCAACAATGTCTTAATTTTTCTTTGCATTTGCTGTTTTTTTGGAGACATTTTCTACTTCTTAAAGTAATATGTTGAGTGATCCATTATGTTCGTTTTTTTTTTTTTTCATTTTACTTATGTCATCAAGTGCGTTAGTATTAGTTGCTTTTGAACTCTCGGGCAATACGATTAGAGTATCACTGTAAATGTATTTGAGCTCATAGGATCGATATGAGATGATAATCTCGATTGATCAACATTCGGCTTTAATATACTCTTCCATGCTTTTGTTACGTCCTGGCCCCTGGAAACGGTCGGGCATGAACGGATCGTAACACAGATCGATTAATCTTTATTTCGCGATACCATACTTATCGAGAAGAGAGCGTGTGTATGCGCGGGTCGAGCGAGATGTGTCGGGTCCGGCGGACGGGTCAACGGTCGTGTGCCGCTCTAACTCCGTCGCACTTTGGACTCTCACTCGTGTGTCTCTGTTTTTAGGCCTGAGATGCGAATCTCAATGGCCTGGGATGAGACTGTGCGATTTTCTTGAGGAGGAAGTGTGCTGAAGTCAATAAATAAGTATTTATTTATGCAGCTCGTTAGTTAACGTTTTAATACCGAGTAACATTTTTTTTCATATCAATTTTACGTGTTTATATTTTTCTTGTGTCATTATACGTGTGTAATCGTAGGTAGGTTACATAATCGATATGTTAAGAAAGAAAAGAAAAAAAAGAAATTAAAAAAAAAATTAAAGAGAAATAATTATTTAAAAAACCAGATGAGAGGCAGTTGAAGCAAGACACGGATGTTGTTGTGCAAACACGTAAAGATGATTTTTATTTCAAGATGTAATGTGTATGTAT